TGGCAATCTTAGACTCGTTCCAAAAAACCGGAATCTCTTGCAATACCGTTGAGTAGAGGTCGTAAAAATGACGCTAGACACCTCAACTGCGACCCTACGCCTGAGCAAACGCTTCGTTTTTGGTGGCGGAACAAGAGTGTATAGGACGTCGACACTGTCCAAACAACTAGCGAATGGTGCTGAAAAAATAAGCAAAGGCCGAAAAACGAAAATTCGTCTAAGCACTGTAGGTTATACCAGGCGAGGACAAGGTGTATGGACAATTGGATTATACATTAACAGGCTTGTATTGGCTCAAAATTTGCTTCTTTTTTTTTTTTTGAGGGCTATGGCAAAGATTTGTATTAAAATACGTGAAAATGTGTCAGTCTGGGTYAAATTTGATCAGATGGTATGGCTTTCAAAATAAATTGCAATGAAGACGTTGAAGAGGGGGGCTACAACAAATCAACCTTTTGTTAACGAAATGTTGAGTGTGTTGAGGCGCTCAGTGCTACATTAAAGAATATCTGTGTAGATAATGCAACAGAAGGGGGATCATTTAGTTCTTGTGGCAGTGCCTCGATTTTATAGTTTGAATTTCAAAAATAAATATTAGCATAAGTAATATTCGCTACTTTATTAATTTATAATAGAAGGACAACCAACAGTTTGCACACTGAAAAAAAAAAAAACAAAAACGCTAATGGAACTAGTTCAGCACTAGTGCTTTTCGGCGAATGCTTACTAAGACGGTCTTTACTGAGTTTTAAAGCAATAATTTTTGGGTTTTCTGGGTCAAGAAACAGAACATTGAAAGAACTAAATCTATTATTTGAACTACCTCCCTTACCATCCTTAAAGACATCGTTGTGAAATCCTCAAACACATTCTCSAAGCAAAAAACATGCAACATGTCGAAGGAATCCTTGCATGTTTCACTTAAATTCCAATTTAAAGCATAGTCTGTTTCTTTATAATGAAGAATTCCTTGCTACACAATTACAATATGCAGTTACCAACGTTACCCGGGCAACAACAACMATAGCAACAATGCGCCACATAAGTGAATGTGAAAGAATTGAAGTGCATATTAAACAGAGCCAGCAGCATTTTTACGTCTCAAGTGTAATTGTTGTTTTATTGGCGAACAACTTGTAAAAAACAAAAACAAAAACAATAAAACCCGAACAAAGGACGACGACAACGTCAAGAAAAAATGAGGTGCCGGGTAAGAGGGCGACGAGTAAAATTGAAAAAGAAAGCTTTGAGTGCGCTGAAAAGGGTCACATATGTATACACGAGGCAAGTGAAAAGGAGCCACAGCGCCTAGGTGCTCTCAAACGTACGAGCACTACTTTTATTCTGTCTGCCTGTGTGTGCATATGTGTGTGTGTGTGCGTAAGTACGCTGTGTACCGACGTGATCGCCTTGTTTCAGCGCGTCAATGAATTTTGTGCTTTCTGCCATTGTGCGCCACACGCTAGCTGGMATTATTGTTATTTTTTTGTTACTGGCTTGTTGTTGTCGTTGTTACTGTTGTTTCTTGTTGACTGGCGCTACTTGAAATTTTGTGAATATATTAAAAATGTGCATTGTGCTGCAGCAAGCCACACACAGACACATTGTGCTCCACCATGCCTGTGTGTGTGTGTAT